TGACACAGGAGTCACCACACTGAGTTACTAGTGATGTCACTGCCCCCAGCACTAATGCTTCCTGACTTCTCCCAGGCCCTGTACCACCCCTTGTAAAGCAGCAGTGATAACAGAACCTACACCTTTAGATTGCTATGAGGATAACGAGATACAATGCATCTAAAGCATTTGAATCACTACCTGACCACAGGGAAGTGCTTGATAAATGTTATTTATTCCTATTATCACTGCCACTTCCACAATCACTACTGTTGCTATTATTTCAAACCACCTTTCCAAAGTTATCTCCAGATTATATTGTTCTGCTACTAAGAACCTTCAGAGACTGTCCTTTGTTCCTAGCATCAACATCAAACTCGTCAGAGGGCCAGCAACTGTGAGCCCTGCATGGGCTTGGCCCTGAGTACCGCTTTGTTCAAACCTTCATCACTCTCCTTGCTCCACTCTCTTCTGGGCTCATTTCTGAAACCACCCCAAGGACTCAGCCCTTCCCTCTGCCTGACATGTCCTTTCACTTCTCTTCTCAGTCGTGAATTCCTGCTTTTACTCCACCGTCTGCTCCACTCCCAGAGAGGCACTCCCTGACGCTCATGCTGCCAGCTCACCTTGCAGGTGTAGGCTGTCCTGTCACCAGGGACCTTTGGTTAATGGCCTTTCCAAGATTTCTTTCTGGGATCATTTCATTAAGAGCTTATCTCCAAGAACTACATCAGTCTCCATGAACTCCGGTTACAGCCCCATGTCTGGTGACATATTGCACACATCACTGGTTGTTGGTAGCTGCTGTTGGGTTGTTTCTAACTCAATGTGACCCTGAGTGCAGAGCAGAACTGCCCCATAGGCTTTTTTATACTGTGACTTCCAGAAGTAGGTCACCAGGGCTTTCTTTCAAAGCACTTCTGGATGGATTCAAACTACCAACCTTTTTAGACCACCTAGCCATTTGTGCCACCCAAGGACCCCAACCAAACTGAGTCAACAACACTGAGTCAATTCCAGCTCACAGGGAACCTATAAAGTGAGTGGAACTTCTCCAGAGGGCTCCTAAAGCTAGAAATCTGCTGGCAGATAGCTTCATCTTTTTCCTGCAGAGTGGCTGGTGGGTTCAAACTGCCAACCTTCAGGATTGCAGCTCAGTGCTTTGCCTACAGCACCATGATGGTGTCCCCAACTAGCATTCCAAACTAAACGCACTGCCATCAAGTCCACCCACCATCAAGTGTCGAAGGCTTTACATCTTAACAGAAGCAGGCTGTCCCATCATTCTCCCACAAAGTGACTGGTGGACTTGAACTTCTGATCTGTTGGGTAGTAGTGCCACACATAACTCATGATGCCAACAGGGCACTTGATCCACATAGTGGAGCGGCTCAAATATGCGTGTTTGAATGAATGCTCTTCCAGCCCTCACTCACACAGCACCATTCCACCAAGACCAAATGTCAGCTAAAGGGAGTTCACTAATAAACGAAACCAAATGCCTCTGCTGTCTGGTCTGTTCTAACTCTCAGCATCACACACACACACACACACACACACACGTTTCTGAAGCTGGAAAGCTTCACAGGAGGAGACCATCCATCTTTCTCTCATGGGGATACTGGTGGCTTTGAACTGCTGACTCTTTGGTTTACAGTTCACCACAGGACACACTATGTCACAAAGGCTCCTCCCAGTTCACTAATGTTCAGTGCAAAGGTGAATTTTGGCCTGGTTTCCTGTACCATAGATGTTTCCCAGGAGATCACTCATGAAGCTTATGAGCTGGCTCTGTGGATACAGCGTGGCTCCTGCATGGTCCAGGTAAATGGTTCCTGAAAGGAAAAAAGAGCAGGGCGTTATTTCCACAGGCACCCAAATTCACCTCTGCCCGCTTTCTCTGACCAGTGCCCAGCTCATGCTTTTAAGGCTAATGCATCAGGCCACAGATTTCTCCAAGCTCTTGGTTCTAAACAAAACCCATAGCTGGGGTGAATGAAGTCAATACATGGTGGGGGAAACAATAAACGCAAAGCAGAGTACTTCCTAAAGTAGAAAGACAGCTTGGAAAAAAAGAAGCTGAACTGAAACACCTCCTGGAACAGAGACTTCAGAGCAAAGCAAGGGATTCTGCAGACAAGAGAGAGGAATGGGAGCCAAGGGAGAAGAAAGAGGAGTCAGAACAGCTGCATCTGCACCCAAACCTTCGCTCAGGGTGTGAAACTGGAGTCAATTATTGGAGCTCCACACTCCACTGGAGAGTTCATGTTCTTAATGGAACTGAAACACTGAAGAGGCTAAAAGTAAGGAAGACAGTACCTAATGCCCATGGGAAAGGCTGATGTGGTGTTCCTACTCCTGAGAAGACGATGGCAAAAGATGACAAGAAATAACTCTACTGAGTGCCAGCTCCTGTCACAGGAGTGTGGGTTTAAAGTGAAGAGGAAAAGGAGTTTATTTCTGTTGACACCGTAGACTGGCTACAGAGGATGCCCTTTGAAGAGCTGGTATCGTTGCCATTTCTGAGACCGGTAAGAGACCAAGTATCTCAAAGCCGTCCCATGCCGTACAGACAGCACACTCATCAGGTGTTTGAAGCAGCCTGTTCTACACTGTTCTGAGAAAAGTAAAAGGAGCTCTGCCTCACAACTAGACCATTAAACAACATTATGGTAAATGGAGAAAAGTTTGAAGTTGCCCAGGATTTAATTTACTTAGATCTGCAATCACCATCTATGGACACAGTAGCTGAGAAACTAAGTGATAGATTTTATAAATTTGTTGTCAAGGACGTCTTTGAAGTGTTAAAGAGCAAGGTTGTACAACCACAAGTGAATAGATTGAGAAATTATGGTACAGTCACACAATGGAATACTAAGCAGCACACAGGAGCAAAAACTTACCTGGGAGCGACTGGGGAGAACTATGCTGAGTAAATTCAGACTCACAAGGATAAATATTGTATAAAATCATTATTGTAGAATGAGTATAAGGATCCAGGAGGGGTGGGAGAGGATGGAAGCAGAGGGATGTGGATGTGTGTGTGTGTGTGTGTGTGTGTGTGTGTGTGTGTATGTGGTGGGGGGTGAGGGAAATTGAAAACATTTGTTTGAATTTGTATTTGAGGGGTTTTTTTAATTTTTATTGTATTATTTTTACGTGTACCGTCAAATCAGATCTGACTGGTACAGGAGGAGATTGTCCCCTCCTTCTCCAGCACAGCATCTGGTGGATTTGAACCGCATACCTCTGGGATTGCAGTGCTATATTTGAGATTTGTAAATAAACTAGTGGGGGGCGGGAGTAAGGGTGTCAGTTTAAAGATGAAAGTGTACCCTACCCACGAATGATATTTTCATTTCTTTATGTGCATCTCATGGGGGAAGAATTAATGCTTTGAAACTGTCATGTTGTTGAAGCAATTTGCAAATGCCTTAAACTCCCAAAAGTACAAATAAACGTGCCTTGGAAGATGTGCAGCTATTTCTAGAAAGGATGACGAAACTTTTCATGAAATTTGTAAAATATTTCAACAACTTTGTCTCATATATTTTAAGTAGGTTATCAAGAAGATTCTCTGTGTAGAGAAAGCTATCATGCTTGTAAAATTACAGTGTCATTGAGAAGAGGAACATCCTTAATGAGATGGGTGAATGAGGGAAATCCTTAGGGTGTGACTGCAACAAACGCCTTAAGCACAACAGAGATTGTAGAAATGGAGCACAATCAATAGAGTTTCATTCAGAGTCACAACATTTACCAATAACAACAACATGGGGTTTTTTGTTTTTTTTAAAAAAGAGCTCTGGTGGTCTAGTGGTAAGAAGCTGTGCTAGGGAGCTCTGGTGGCCTAGTGGCAAGACGCTGCACTATAATCCCATAGGTATGGGGTTCAAATCCACCAGATGCTCTGCTGGAGAAGGAGGGGGCGATCTCCTCCTGTACCAGTCAAATCTGATTTGACGGTACACGTAAAAATAATACAATAAAAATAAAAAATAAAAAAATAAGAAGCTGTGCTGCAATCCCAAAGGCACACAGTCTGAATCCACCAGCTGCTCCGAGGGAGAAGGACAGGCAACCTCCTCCTGTGTGATTTTCTGTATCTGAAAACCCAGTGAAGTCACTGCCTCTGAAAACCTGCTGGAGGGTCAGCGACGAGTCATTTCTAACTCAGTGATGCACAGCAACCACTTCTACAAGGATCAAATGCACTATGGGTGTGCAGGAGTGCAAAGATACAGTAGAAGTCCAAAGATAAGTTCAAAGTTCACAACCCACAGCCTTCTCCCCAACAGAGTAAACTTCTGGTTTTTAAAACATCAAGTTTGTAGGTTTTAGATACTGTTTTGTTGCTGTCAGGAGCCACTGAATCAATTATGACCCCTCGACACAATGGAGCAAACAGCTCTACTCTGCATTGTCATCACAACCCCCACTACGCTCAAGGCCATTGTCATTGTCACTGTGTCACTCCATCTCCTTGAAGGGCTTCTCCTCTCTTTCTCTGACTCTTGGCATGATGTCTTCACCAAGGATTGGCTCATCCTGACAAGGTGTGAGATGAAGTTTCACCATCCTCACCTCTAAGCAGCACCCTGGTTGCACTCCCTTCAAGTGCAGATTTGTTTGTTCTTTCGGCGATCCATAGGATATTCAATATTCTTTGCCAAGACCACAGTTTAAAGGCACTGATTCTCCTTCAGTCTTCCTTATTCACTCTCTACCTTTCAGATGTATTTTCAGTGCCTGACAATACAGTGTCTTAGAGTTGATGGTTACTGGCATATTAGCTGGGCACAGAAGGGATGAAAGAGGAAGAAGGGAGTAGGGTCATTTTTTACCAAATGTGTTGGCTGACTGAGGAAAGGGTGAAACAGTACAAAGAACAAGCAACTACTGATGTGGTTCTATGTCCAGAATATTTTACCTTTTATTTTAAAAAGTGCCACTGGCGACATAAATGAGGACTGTGAGAAACTGTTCTAATAATCTGAATGTCCGGAACCTATTAGCCAATGTGGTCCCTATCTGAGTTTAATTTCACCCTTTACAAAGGACTAAGACAGTAAGTTACTAAAGTCATCATGTGGGATATGCAAACTAAGAAAGGGAGCTGCACTTTTTTTTTAACTTGTGTGCCATCGAATTCGATCTGACTGACACAGGAGGCAAGTGCCCCTCCTTCTCTAGCACAGCATCTGGTGGATTCCAAACGCGTACCTTCAGAACTGCAGTGCAGCTTCTTGCCATTAGGCCACCAGGGCTCCCCGAGCTGTACTTTTTATTGGAAAGTATATCCAGGCTGATCATTCTGTCTCAGAGGTGCTCCTTCTTAAATTGACAAGAAGATGCTTTCTTTTCCAATAAACTCTCAAAATCTTATTGCCCCCTTCAGGTTAGAACCAATTAATAATGGATGATAACTGGCAGGTTTGGGGAGCTTGTACATCTCCTGGGAGTGCTATTTTTCTCCCTCAGAGCTCTTGGTAGATTGGAACCAGCAGAAAGGTGTGGACTTTAGGTCAGCAGACCCATTCCAGAGCTCTTTAACCCATAAATACTAGCTTGTCCATCCCAGTCATTGGCTATCTAGTGGTGGTATGTTGTTGTTGACTGCCTTCAAGTCGAGCACGACTCATAGCGACCCTATGAACAAAAGGCCTGAAGCCTCTCTACAACTATAGACATTTATCAAAGTTCATAGATTTCCAGAGGCATAGGAGATGAGAAAGTCAGAAAGACCAGGGACAAGCTCTCAGTGTGGAAAATTTTGTTTTTTGAACTTTGAGCTCTGAAACCATTGGTGGCAGGGTTCAATCACCAATAGTACAATTGTCATTTAATTAATTCAAGGATTGACAGAGTGCCTACTCTCAGAAGATTAAGCTTTCACACTGGGACAGTGGTTTACTTTAAAAAAATAAAAATCTGGGGAGCTCTGGTGGCCTAGTGGCAAGGAGCTGCAACTACAATCCCAGAGGCGCACAGTTCGAATCCACCAGATGCTCTGCCGGGGAAGGAGGGATAATCTTCTCCTGTACCAGTCAGATCTGATTTGACGGTACACGCACACAAAAATAAAATAAAAATAAAAATCTTTTTCAAACCTAAGAATTAACTGATACCTGAAATGCTTTGTCTGTAATCATGACCCATAAGCTATCAAGATCTTGGAATCGAGAGCTACACTGTAAAACCTTGTTCAGTCTAAGTTTCCGTGAAAACTTTGTTCAAATGTAAATTACATGCTAACTACCCTGTCAGTTTTTGTAAAATTACAAGTTAATTAATTAAATTTTAATAACTGTTGCACTTATATGCTATAATAACTTATTTTAAAAAAATAAAAGAAGGCAAATGGGGAGTTGAGAGGAGAAAGTAAGAAAAGTTATACTGGTTTTGCGTATTTCCCTACCCTCTCTCTGGTTCATTTGTTTCTCGAAAAAAGTGGATTCATTGCTCCAAGGCTCCCAGGGATGAGAAGTTATTAGTTTAGTCCACAAAAGCTTACTGTTGTTGTTGTTTGCCATAACACACCCAAAGCTGACCCTCTAGTGGGTTTTCAGAAGTGCTAAATAGCTTAGGAAACTGTCCATCCTTCTCCCAGGGAGCATTCGCACTGCATGCCTTTGAAATTGCAGTACAGCCACCAGAAGTGACTTATAATATAGAGAGAATGTACGTATACTATTATACCTGATCTATAGAGAAAATGCTGGGGGCCTTGCATTAAAAAGAACATGAAATAAAATGGATGTTAAAGGCCAGCTGGGATACTGGCTATCCTATCTAAAATGTGCATTTCAGGGGGAAGGTGCTATTCCCTAAGGAAGAAACATGTGTTGAGGGTAAAGACTGGCCAATGATGGGCGTGAGGGATCAGAACCCAAGAAGATTTAAAGGATTAAGGAGGTGTGGTGGTATAATCATTACTAGCTGAACCGATACAGCCCTTGGGATTTGCTTCAAAGGTGGAGCCTCCTCCCACCACCTCTGCAGGTGTCCACTACTCCAGTCTCTGTTCTTGTGGTGACTTTCCCATCGTGAGCCCCAGGTATGCAGAATACAGAAGCAGAAGAATGGAGGGCTATGCACAGGAGGCAAATGTGTTCACTGTGAGGAAGGGGAGGAAGCCATCGGTCTCCTTCCTGAATTCTTCTCTTTAAACAGGAAAAGAGGACAGAGCTCTCAGATCTGAAACCAGCTACTTGATGAATGCGAAGTGTCATGGTTGCTGATCTGTCACAAGCAGGTTGGGTAAACCACATGGACAATGTCCATTCCATTCTCAGGGACCCTGTGAGTCTCCAAAGCAATTCTCCCACAGAGCAGGTTCTAATCATCGTTAACCTCTCAGTAAGCAGCCCAGTGCTTTAATCTCTGCACACCAAGGGAATCTTCACAAAGTGGGTACTCAACAATGCTCCCAGTGTTGGATTCGAACCTCTGACCTTTCAGTAGCAGCCTAATTCTTCTTCTTCTTTTTTTTTTTTTGAACGCTTCTTGCTGATCTTCTCTGTATCGTTCCAATTTTAGTATATGTTCTGCCGAAGCGAACACGCAGCCTAATTCTTAACGGACTATGCCATCACGGCATTTAACAGGTTTTTTTTTTAAAAAAAAAAACAACAAAACCACACACCAACAATTCATTCTCGTCGAGTTGCAACTTATTCGTAGCTGACAGCCCCAGTACACACAGCTGGTCTTTAGAGGCTATAAATTGAAGGAGAACAGAGTGTCCATCTTTCTCCGCAGAAGCAGCTGCTGGATTCGAACCGCTTGCCTTTGTGTTGGCAGCGCAACTCGTTACCCACTAGGGGACCAAAGCAAGCAAGGTAGCAGTTTTCAATTGCTCACCGTGACAAAGTACATGCGCCACAACTCTTTGCCAGGCACCACGACCTGCCCACTTAACCTGCGGCCCTTCCCTGTCATCGAGGTCAGTTGCGCGGTGCTGAGCCCTAAACCGCAGCAGGGGAGGCCATAAGGTCATGTCGAGCTTGATTTCCATTTTAATCGTCTTGTGCTCTGTTCAGTCTTTCATCGGGAAAACTCAAAGGCACAATGTAGTCCCGATCCTCTGGATCAACAGGACCGCCCATTTCTTAAAACTCAAATTGCACAATTTGCTAACTCTGCGATCCAGCGCTCGCTGGCACTATTCCGACTGCACATAAAAAAAAAGGCAAACTCGGGCTTCAAAAATCAAAGCTGCCGAGTGGGAGTGTAGGGGGAACCAGGGCGGAATCCGCCGCACTGCCCGGTGCGTCCCTGGGAGACACTGTCTGAACACTCAGGGCTGTGAGTCAGCGCGCACCTGCGGCCGGAGGGGGCTCCGACAAGTTCTGGCTGCGGGCAGTCCCCGATTGTGCAACCCCAGCTGGGCCAGGATCAAAGACTCTGCGCAATGACCACAAAGAGAATCTCAACCTCCTTCATGGAGAAGAGGGAGAAAGCGAAAGAGGGCTAGTTTGGCGTCACGCAGCTGAAATGTCAAAAGGTGCAAAAGTAGACGTCTTGTGCTGTAAGTGGGACTTCACGGACCGGCGTCCCCAAAGCAGACGCATGGACACGTCCCTCCGCATCTTCCAGTTCCAAATGTGCCCCAAGTGAAGGAGCTCAGCTCCCACGTATGGCGCACGTTCCTTCCACGTCGGTTCCCGCAATCCTGCTGAGCCACCACCGCCCCGCGAAGCTGCCTCCAGGCTGCCCGCGCCCCGCGCCTCACCTGCCAGGCGGCCGAACTCGCGCTCCCGCAGCTCGCGCAGGTCGCGCCCGTAGCCGTAGGCGAGCGGCTGGGTCCTGGACGCGCGGAACCGCTGGAAGTCTAGCAGCTCGGGCCCCAGCGGCGCCGCCCCGCCGGCCATGACCGCACTGTCCCGCCGCGCGCGCCCCGTCTGGGCCCGGGAAGTGCGCGGCCGGCTCCCGGCTCCTCCCCGCCGCGCCCCCGGGCCTGCAGAGCTCCAGCCCGGCTGGGGCGGCGCCTGGCGGCCGGGCGGGCGGGCCGCGCTGACTCACGTCCTTTCCTTCTCCCCGGTCCTCTTCCTCCAGGTGGGGCGGGGTCAGTTTTCTTAAATGACATTCTAGGGGAGCCCGCGACGATGTTGCCGACACCCCAAGTTCTCGTTTATCTAGCTGTCCCACAGAGAGGGACATGGAGGAAGCAATAGATGCATCTTCCCGCCCAGCTTCCTGAGCTGCGTTCTCTGTGCAGGACCTGCCTCATCCCAGCCTTGTGCGGTACCCGGGACCCTCAGCCAGGCCAGGACAGGCAGGCTAGACTTTGGAACCCCGGGCTCCGCCGGCTTCTGCTTTTCAGGGAGGCGGGTGCAGGCCTTCCTGACAACTGGTTGTGCAAAGGCTCGAAGAAGGGAAAGATTAGGAAACCACGACGTTTGGCTAAACTCTCTTGTAGAGTAGAAAGCTCGGGAAGCTCTGTGGTGCTGTCCTCCAGCCTGCACTAGGGTCAAGGCCAAGCAGCCCTTTCTGAACTCCGCTGCTTCAGGGGTGCAAGGCCAGCCGAACTGCCGGGGTACGAGGTGAGAAAGCAGGTGGTCCCAGGTCAGGGGCTGGGCCCCGCTGAGGAAGGAGGAAGATCCGCCTTAGGACCCTTGGTGACTGGATTCAGGTACAGGCTTAGCAGAGGCCTCAATGTGGGAAGCCCCAGCGCACGGCTTGTGCATGGTGTGGGCCACTGTCGCTTTGGAATTGGCAACGAGGATGCAGAGAGGTCCTTTCGTGCTGTATTGGAGCGTGAGAGCCGCCAAGGCCTCACACAGCGCTGCCTCTCCCAACCTAGGTTTGGAATTAGGAGTGCCCACCCATGGGGTTCATTTTGTTCTGGATGTGGGTGTCTGGTGTGAAAGCTGCAGGGCTAGGCTGGGTTTGTGAGATGCCCCTGTGCCTCTTGGTCCCTGCCTGTAGATCAGCCCAACCCTCTCCTTTCACTCTAAGCCAAATGCCCATACTTCACAAGCGTGAATGAAATGCTTGATCTGAAATGACTGAATACATTGTCATTTGGTCATTGGCATCGTCACCCTCCTCCCAGCAACCCTACAGTGTGGGTGCTTCCCCCTTTCTTTAAGTCTTAGTATCCCTTGGAAGATTTTAAGGCCAGGCTTGCCAGGCTTTAACTGCCTCCTGCACCATCTGGGAAACTATTAAAAGGCGGATTCTGCCTCATTATATTTGGGAGGAGACAAAAATTCTGTAAAAAGCTCAGATGCTGCCTATTCTCTGGTGGTTCCCGGAATGCATCACAGAGGGTCTTACAACATTCTTGGCAATGTAAGGAATAGCTCTCCAGGAATACCTCTCCTCAAGGTGCATGTGTCAAAGCAACAAATCAAATCAAAGAGGTGCTGCCTTAAGACAAAGTTGCCTTAGTGGATGGGCCACACTAGTGCAGGAATCACTCACTAACAGTCAATCAGGAAACACTTTTTTGCACCAGCATAAAATGTTCATGTACTCTATGCCAAATAACCGAGGGAGCAGTGATGTCAGTTTAAAGACTAAGGTGCACCTGATTCAGATCATGGTCTTTTCAATCACTTGCTATGCATCTGAGAGCTGGACAATGAATAAAGATAACAGAAACTGATGCCTTTGAGTTGTGGTCTTGGAAGAGTACTGAATATATGCTGCCAAAATAACAAACATATGTCCTGAGAGCGCTCCTTGGATTCAAGGATGCTGAAGCTTTGTCTCATACTTTGGACATGTTGCTAGGAGAGGCCAGTCTTTAGAAAAGAGCATCATGCTTGGAAAGGTGGAGGGTCAATGTAAGAGAGGAAGATCCTCAATGAAATGACACAGTGACTGCAGCAATGGGATCAAGTGTTTCAGAGATGAAGAGAGGACAAGGTTCACATCTGTTGTTCACAGGGTTACTGCGTGGTACTCAAAGCACCTAATAACTATGTAATCCACTGTCCCTGTCACTGAATAGGGAAATAAACTCCTGTCTCTTTAAAGTGTTTAAAGCAAAGATGTACTTTAACACTAAGTTGACCCTAACTTAAGCCATGCTTTCCCCCCCCTTGTCTTTTCTTTTTGTTCTTCTAGCCATGCTATATTCAGTTGCTTAATATGCACCAAGGCAATGGTGACGAAGGAGAAGTTCAAGCTGCTCTAAAGGAATTGGCAAATAACAAGGCCCCAGAAATTGATGGAATACCAACTGACATATTTCAACAAATAGATGCTACCTTCGACATGCTCACCAGGTTGTACCAAGAAATCTGGAGGACAACTACCTGGCCAATTGAGTAGAAGAAATCCATATTTATTCCCATTCAAAAAAAAAAAGTGATCCAACAGAATGTGGAAATTGCAGAATGGTATCACTAATATCACATGCAAGCAAAATCCTGCTTAAGATTATCCAAAAGAGACTGAAACAGTATAGCAACACAGAACTACCAGAAATTCAAGCTGGGTTTAGAAGAGGCACCAGGGACATCACTGCCAATGTCAGATGAATCTTGGCTGAAAGCATAGAATACCAGAGGAATGTCTGTGTTTCATTGACTATGCATAGGCATTTGACTGTATGGATCACAACAAACTGTGGCTAACCTTGAGAAGAATAGGTATCCCAGACCACCTGACTGTGCTCATGTGAAACCACCACTTGAACCAGGAGGACCAGGAGGCAGTCCTCAGAACAGGGCAAGAAAACACTACATGGTCCAAAATCAGAAAAGGAGTGCCTCAGGGGATGTGTCTTATCTCTGCACATCTTGAATCTATATGCAGAACAGATCATTCAAGAGGCTGGTTTTCATGAGGAGGAATATGGCCTCAGGATTGGAGGAAGATTCATCCACAACTTGCACTACGCAGATGACACAATATTGCTCGCTAAAACTGAGGAGGACCTGAAGCATTTGCTGCAGAGAGCACTGAAGCTCGGTACCAAGAAAAGATTCTTGCAGTCTTCGCAGAGTCGCTGTGGTTTCCTGCTTCAACAGTGCTTGAACAGAACCTGGCGCTCGCCCGCATCTCCCCTCGCCGGTCATTTCCAGCCAGTCCTCTGCTATCTCCTCACATCAGCACCCCCGGACGCCCCAAGGTCCTCGCCTCCGCTCCAGCTCCACACAGCCGCCGCCTCGCTGCCGCCATGACCGCATCCCCTTCGCAGGTGTGCCAGAACTACAACCAGGACTCAGAGGCAGCCATCAACCGCCAGATTAACCTGGAGCTCTACGCCTCCTATGTCTACCTGTCCATGTGTCTTACTACTTCGACCATGATGATGTGGCTTTGAAGAATTTTGCCAAATATTTTCTCCACCAATCCCACGAGGAGAGGGAACACGCTGAGAAACTGATGAAACTGCAGAACCAGCAAGGCGGCGCATTTTCCTTCAGGACATCAAGAAACCAGACCGGGGTGACTGGGAGAGCAGGCTGAATGCAATGGACTGTGCGCTACACTTGGAGAAAAGTGTGAATCAGTCCCTACTGGAACTGCACAAATTGGCCACTGACAAGAACGACCCTCATTTGTGTGACTTCATTGACACACATTACCTGGATGAGCAGGTGAAATCCATCAAACAACTGGGTGACTACGTAACCAACTTGCGCAAGATGGGCACCCCGATTCCGGCCTGGCCGAGTACCTCTTTGACAAGCACACCCTGGGAGACAGTGACAGCGAGAGCTGAGCGAAGCTTTAGCCCGGCTTCCCCACAGCCACAGGGGTGACTCCGTGGTCACTACCAGGCCACCTGCATGTCTTGTTTATTTTACCTTTTCTATAAGTTGTACCAAAATACCCACTTAAGTTCTTTCATTTGTACCATTCCTTCAAGATAGTCCTTTGGTACCCAGCTGTTGTGTTGGAGATCTTGGTGGGCCAGAAGTCTGTCTAAGCCACCCTGGCTAAATTCTTTAATCACCACGGTGTCTGCTTAAGTCACATTTAATAAAATGAAACTTACAAGAAAAAAAAAAGATTCTCAACACTAAGCGAAATGGCAGCATTGTGATAAATGGAGATGAGATTGAGATTTTAACAATTTGTTTTCTCAGATCCACAATCAACACTCTCAGCACCAATAGTCAGGAAATCAAGAGATGAATTGAATTTGGGGAAGTATGCTGTCAGGGACCTCTCCAGAGTGCTAAAGAGTTAGGATGTCAAGCTAGAGACTAAGGTGCTCCTGATCCAGGCCACGGTCTTCACAATTACTTGCTATGTATCAGATAGCTGGACAAGAATACTGACCATTGTGGACTGCCAAAAGAACTAACAGGTCTGTCCTGAAGAGGGTGAAACCAAGCTGCTCCCGAGAGGCAAGGGTTTTCTAAGATTCTATCTCACATACTTTTGGGCACATGGTCAGGAGGGACCAGTCTTTGGAGAATAATGCTTGGAAGGGTCAAGGGACAGTACAAGGGAGGAAGACCATGGATGAGATGGATTGACATAAAAACTGGGGCAATGAGGGTCCATGTGTCAGAAACAAGGAGACTGGCTCAGGACAGGGCAGGATTCGGAGCAAATGCGCATAAGGTCGCTGAGTTATAGCTGACTTGACAGCACATCACAACAACATGCACCCGAAAGATGGACAATAAATAAGGAAGACTCAAGAATCAGTGCCTCTGAATTCTGGTGTTGGTGAGAAATATGAAATATACCATCAACTCCAGAAGAACGAACAAATTGGTCTTATAAGCACAGCTAGAATTCTGCTTAGAAGTGAGGATGGTGAGACCTTGTCTCCAGTTGTTTAGACATGTTACCAGAAGGGACCAGTCCCTGGAGAAGGCATCATGCTTCAGGAATGGATTAGTTCAAAGAGGAAGGTCCTTAAGAGACTGACAGAGTGGCTGCAGGAATGGGCGTAAAC